TAATGCAGCATCGGCTAAACGTGAATTTCACTTTTCTGTCAAGTGAATTTCACCTTTTCAAAGCATGATCCACCAAGGGTTCGTAGTTGGATTGTCAATTTGAAGAGGGAGGATTTGCCATTGAACTTCTGCCCAGAGAAAAAAAAACACGTAATATGTAGCCAACATTTCGAAGAAGAATGTTTTCAAGATGACTTTGGACAAACACCAGATACAGCATTGGGACTTGATCAACAGCCGATACCGCACCGTGACATCACAAACCAGTAGGTGGCAGTAGTGTTCCTTGACAAACATGGATGCCTCCAGTAAAGCACATTCAAATGAAAATTACTCTTAATTCAAAACACTTATCATTTATTGAACAGTATGGAATAATTTCATATTTAAAATACTTTCAGAAGTTTGAATTCTGAATAAAAGCTGTAGAGTGCCGAATCATCAGTGTAATCCTTTTTAATTCCTGAATTTTTGGGACAACAGTCACTACCTTCTATCTTTCTACTGACAGAATATACTTTCCTAAATATGTTTCTTCATTGCGTGTTTTATTAATGCGACATATTCAGTTATTAGAAACAATTTCTGTATTTCGAAAGAAATTATTTGCAATGTATTAAAATATAGTTTGCGTTAAAGACATCCCTCATCTCTAAAAAAAATAATAATAATAAAAGAAAATGGCAGTAACTTAGGTTTTCCAGTTTGTATCTGACTGACCCATAAGAACTTTAGAATGCTATCTATTTTTAATTTATTTTATTTATTAGAAGCATCGTCACAGGTAATAAAACAATGTAAAATAACAGAGAACTCCAAGTTAAACATGATTTGTATTTTCTACTGTCCTATCTCAGTAAAGAACCACTATTAGCACCTGATCTTTATAGTGTTTGCATATCTTAAAAAGGTGCAAAGGTCTTTATACACACATAGCCGATCTTTAAACAAGGTGCAAGGGGATTTTTGTTCGCAATTCAGCAGATGCATAAAAACCTTTTTTTGTATTAGTGCCTTTATTATTTTTGATCGCCCCAATCAAAAAAGAAATTACAGAATTTAAATATTGTGGTATGTTTATGTATAAAAAAAGCGGTGGGAGATAAAAGTTTTCACCTCTTACTCCTCGTATCAGTTTTCTCTCTCAAGGCATAAAGCATAGTTATGTTTTATACATTAGCACCTGTGTTCTCATGTCTTATGACATTTCATTTTTTACATTTAACTTTAGTTATTTTCATATATTGTTTTTTTTTTACTTTTGTTTATAGCACTTAGAGATAGGATGCCAATGTAAAGTGCTCTATAAAGATCTCTTACTATTTATTTAATTCAGTGGGCGGAACCAGACTGGTTTGCACATATTAACATTGGTACACCGACTTATTGGTTGTACTAAAAGAAATTGCACATGCAGGTTCATAATGTCAAACTGAACAGTGAACAAAATTAAATAATATAATATACAATATTAATATATATGTTTATGATAATCTATAATAATGATAAATCACTAATAATAATAATAAAGGGGGTTTTGGGCTAAGTCATCACTAGAACTTTTGAACTGACTGACAACATTGCAAAATGTGGGTTTGGAAAACAAGCAACTACTGTTGTGTAACAGCGCAAATACCTCATAGTAATGTGGTGAAGGAGGAGCCAACTGAGTCTCGTTTTGCACTCACATGATCTTTGAATTTTGCTGTCAATGTGTTGTTTAACAACAGATTTTCGTAATAAAATATTAAGGATTTATATGTGAAGCCATCGGTTCGACAGCTGAAATTTGACTGTAAAATGAATAAAGGTATCGACCCAGTCAGTCAGAACTGTAACAACACTGGTACTGAAACACTGCTGTAAAGATGAGTAAAAGAAAGTTCCTTTATATAGTATCATAACACAGCTTTGTTCATTTTGCCTCCATCTTTGTTTCAATAAATGATTTACTCTATTTTGTTTGTTTTTTTCTATTTCTTTTCAATTCAATTCAGTTTATTTCTATAGCGCCAATTCACAACACGTCATCTCAAGGCACTTTACAGTTCAACCAGATCATACATTCAAATTGATTCAAAGTTTTCTATCAAAGGAAAACCAGTTGATTGCATTAACTCAAATACAATCCTTCACACTAAGCATGCTTGTAGTGACAGTGGAGAGGAAAAACTCCCTTTTAACAGGAAGAAACCTCCAGCAGAATCAGGCGTTTTGTTCACTTTGGTTTAGTAAAAGCATTTTGAGAACTTACTACAGTCCAGGTTGTGTTTATATCAGGTCCCGGTAACCCTAAAGACGACACTATGACTTAAAGTTGCTTTAACTCACTTAAAAAATATAGTTTTTCTATGGAAAAAGAAATTATGTGTCGGGATCAAATGTCCTCTTCTTGTAAGCCCCAAGAAGAGGAGCAGATTAAAGCCAAACAAGGTGGAAATTATAATTTTTGAATTAAAATTGTTGCAGAAGCAAACACTCCTCCCAAATTCTTGTTAACATTCTGTCAAAAACTGCCTGAAGTATGATTTCATAAGGTATAATTACACAACAATCCACTAATCCAAAAAAAAAGGCTTCACTCAAGCTGTTATGCAACAGAAGGGATGTTAATTACAAACAAATTTCACAAGTCAAGAATAAAAAAAATATACATGTATATTATATGTTTGAGATCAGCCAGTTTTTCAGTGTAGTCCTGTTTCTCTGACTGTGACTGGCTGGAAGTGCTCTCTTCGTCCTCTGACATGGGAGCTGGCTCTGAGCTCGTCTGCCTGGCTGTGTGTTTCCTGGACGGGGCCGCCTTTTACAGCTGCTTTTTGTGTCTCTGCTTCTGTCTCCCGGAATCCCAGTCGGCCTCAGCAGATGGCCGCTCACACTAAGCCAGGTTTGTGCTGGAGGTTTCTTCCTGTTAAAAGGGAGTTTTTCTTCTCCACTGTCGCTACAAGCATGCTTAGTGTGAGGGATTGCAGTCGAGTCAATGAGTCGATGCGTTCAACTGGTTTTCCTTGGATAGAAATCTTTGAATCAACTTGACTGGATGATCTGGTTGAATTGTAAAGTGCCTTGAGATTAAATGTGTTGTGAATTGGCCCTATATAAATAAACTGAATTGAATTATATCTTCTTTAATCATTATCAATACTGTCATTATGTAATAAAAGAGTTCAGTAACAAATTATTGCAGACACTTGGACACCGACTCAAATGTAGTTCTCATAGCGCAGATGCCAGCAATCAAAAGTGTGTCAAATGTTTCGAGCTTGGTTTAGACTTTTGGCCAGTTGTGTCAAATTGGTTTATTGGTTCATCCGTCTTCGAAATTGCCATTACTACCATTTACTCATCACGCTAGCACGGTTCTTTGCCTCCTATCGGCGGTCCATGATGCTACAGTTCTCAAGGTGGGAATTACAGAACACAAAACGTATGCGCCTGGATAGCGTCCTTCGCCCAAATTTCAATGAGAGCCTCGATCTCAGAATCAACCCAGGTCGCAACACATTATGTTTTTGTCATTTATTGTTAATAGGCTGAGAAAAAGTTTGTGTTGTGAACAGGTGAAGAGATCTGTGAATTACATAAGCAGGACATGATGGAAAACCCTCGAAATGAATCAGCTGTATATTAACTCTGGGACTTTTGTGTTTATTTTATATAGTAAACAATTTATCACTCAGGCTGGATTCAGCTTTTCTTTCAGCAACATCCGAATGAACAGACAGAATTATTTAGCTGGTGATTAATAAGTTAGCTAATAGTCAAGGTCTAAATTACTGAACTGGTAAAAGACAATTGAAAATTAAACAGCCGATTCAGAAGTCTGACCTTTTATGTAAGAGACTACGAACCCTGGTCAGAAAGGAAATTACAGTTATAATCATTCAACTAATAATTAATTCGCTTTACCCTTGATTTGAATGAACCATTGAGTAACTATAACTTTCATTTCTAGTTATTCAATATATTCATAATCTTGTAAACTTGCACAACATATGTGTGTAAAATCACAATGCAAAATCTTAAGGAATCTATTTAAACTGGTTTTGCTTTTTCTCCTGTATTGTTTACATGATGATCACTGCTGCACTTTATAATTGTAATGTTCATTTCACTGTTGCCAGCTGCTCATTTTACTGCTGTAGGCTGCAAGCAACGTAATTTCATCTTGTATACACCCGGTGTGTGCAAAATTACAATAAAGTTTGTGTAAGTCTAAAGTTTGATTAAGCAGATGTGATTCCAAATAGCTCAAATCTAAGATTTTATAAGTTAGTAGTATTTTTTACAGAGAATTTTGCTTTAGATTTAGATCTATTAGGAAAGGAGACATCTTTTGTCTCATATATTTTTGTTCCAAGAATTTCAGTTGGTTCTGCAGTTTATTTTAAACCAGACACTTTACCAGAATTCTACATATTTATTTATTTATTTATTTATTTATACTAGCATTTATTCCAAATCACTGGAATAAATGCTAGTAATTACATCTACGCAATCAGTGAATAAGGTATCAAAGATTTTTCGGTTAAACCATAATAAAGCAGAAATAAAAGTCCCCTGCAGGTGCTTTTGTCCCATGATTGCAATTACACACCTCTCTGTCATATGACTATGGTGTCATGCATTAAACATTCACACCACACGAGCCTTGTCAGCTTAAATCCAGTCCTTAGTTTAGGAGCGTCTTCTCCTTTAAGAGCATAAACAACATTTTTCACCCCTGACCCACTGTAGAACCCCACTGACAGCCCAGCCCTCCTCTGAGTGAAAAGTCACATGTGGAACAAAACACCAGCATAGATTCTATTTCATAATGTAATCCAAAGAACACTAAATTGACAAAAAGAAAAAACATACTTTAATGAAACATTAACAAGCCTCCCATCAATATACAGATCCTAGCTGTTATAAGGTTTTATTGCATGTCTGAGAGCAGTTGTTTTATTTATGGCTTGAACCTGTGCAGCTGCCAGGGGTGGAGCTAAAACCTGGAAACAAAGGTCTGTGTTTCTGAGACTCAGAGTGTTTATAAGGAGGTGAAAACCCTCACCTACAACTGCACAGTCTCACAGATAGTGACCGAATCCGCTCCTCAAAAAATATGAGATTCCTTGTCTTGCTCGCATGTTTGCTGGCAACCTGCCTGGCACATAAGCCCCATCCATGCGGTAAGGAGATATTTTACTTTTAAATCAGCTTCTAATTTCTGATCTCTCAACATTTGTTTATCATTTCTCACTTTTATCCTTAAACAGGCATTAGACCAGTAACTTCTGATTTTCAATGCGTTTCTGTGAAAAAATAAAATGTTTTTGCTTTACAGCAAGTCCCCCCCTTCTCAGCGGAGGCCTTACTGTGGTAAGGTTTTTGTTAGCTGAGTAAAACTTCAGCACAGCTATCTAGCAGATGTATTTTATGCATATTAAGACTCACATTTTGGCTCTACAGTCCACACAGAATGAAAAGCTGTGGACCTACGCCAAGTACCTGTATGATGGAATCGGACACAGAGTAAGAATCATGGAGTTGGGCGCCTACGAGAATAAATCATTCACCTATGACGCCCTGCTGCTCTACAGAGAGGTGACTGACACATTAATATGTCAAACATTCTTTTCAGAGAAAACTAATGTTTATCAGATGTAAAAATGGACTTGAATATTCAGTAAAACTGTAGTGATAACATTATTTTCAAAATGTTCCCAGCAAGTTAAATCTGTTGTTTGGATATAAAGTCAGAGTTTAATATTTAGAAAGATTTGAAAAGGTGTAATTTTAGAAAACCACAATCTCATCACCATAAATGAGACAAAGCAGCCGCAAACCAAATAAAATGGAGCAATGGTAAATTATTACCTCTGGTCAGCACATAAAGAAAGCCATATTCTCTTGTGGGAGAGTGGTTACCAGTTTTTAAGGCCAAGGATGATCTAAACTAGCAATAAACCTCTAGATGTGAGTTATAAATAACATAAAACCTGTATAATATGATACATAACAGCAAAGTTAAGCATCCATAATGAATGATCCTGGTATGATCTAATGTGGTAATAAATGTCACTATACAAGTTTCAGTCATTTAAAATGTTATGCACCCATATTTCTATTTTTTTTTATATGTATTCTGTAGATTTCAGGGAGGTGTGTAGTGTTAGTTTTTCACTTGATAAAGCATTTTGTATTCTTTATGGTCAAAAAGGTTATCAAATCAAAAAACCTTCTTCTATAAGCAAACAGGGTGTTTTTTCATAAATATATATTTTTTTTTTTGCAGCTGCTTTCCATAATTTTCCACCTGAGCTGTCTGCAACCTTAACCTTTTGCTGCTCTCGCCTTTTTTTTTTTTTCCTAATCAGGCTGTCATGTATGAGATCCATGAACATAACCACACCTGTATAAAGAAGCCTTTTAAGGCAGAATTTCACCCAGTTGGTATTCCAAAGGACGCCTCTCTGTTAGGACAGGTTGTGTTGGGAAGTTCATCTGGACCTGGGCAAGGCCTGCTGGTAAACAGCTGGATGGGAGATATACCAGAGCAGTCAGGTGAGAGGCCTTCATATGATTATAGCTTCCTTGGTTATCCATTCATTCAGCCAATTTTATGAGCAACTTTACTCTCTTTTCCTTCAGGAAAGTACATTGCAACGGTCACAGAATTTGGCTGCATTCCTGTCAGCTTGGCGTACCAAACAAAAGATTATGGATGGATGGTGACAAGGTTGGTTTCAATATTACAAATATGCTTTAGTTAAAATTTAGAAGTTCCACATTGTTAATCCTCAATCCTGTTTCTCTGTTAGCTATTTCAACAACGTCATTGGGATTGAAGATCCTGATCGCCTCAACCCCCCAAGCTTCTGCCAAGATGCAGAGATAAAGGATGGCCAGGAGGAGCCAGTGGATTTCCTAAGTTTATTCCTAAACAAGAATTAAAGAGTTCATTTGATTGCCTCTTACCATTCAACCTACTTGTAATGTTTGAGTTTCATTTGTAATCTTTTCTCACATCATTTTCTCCGGATGGTCAATTTGTTTCAGTTGTCTCATACCCTACTTTATTTTTCATCAAATTATTTTTTTCCACCCTAATGGTCCAATGAAGAATGTCTTTCCAAAATCATAATACAAATAATAAAAAAAAAAGTTGATTTCTGTTTTCATTTTTTTGTGTCC